GTGTGTGTGTGTGTGTGTGTGTGTGTGTGTGTGTGTGTGTGTGTGTGTGTGTGTGTGTGTGTGTGTGTGTGTGTGTGTGTGTGTGTGTGTGTGTGTGTGTGTGTGTGTGTGTGTGTGTGTGTGTGTGTGTGTGTGTGTGTGTGTGTGTGTGTGTGTGTGTGTGTGTGTGTGTGTGTGTGTGTGTGTGTGTGTGTGTGTGTGTGTGTGTGTGTGTGTGTGTGTGTGTGTGTGTGTGTGTGTGTGTGTGTGTGTGTGTGTGTGTGTGTGTGTGTGTGTGTGTGTGTGTGTGTGTGTGTGTGTGTGTGTGTGTGTGTGTGTGTGTGTGTGTGTGTGTGTGTGTGTGTGTGTGTGTGTGTGTGTGTGTGTGTGTGTGTGTGTGTGTGTGTGTGTGTGTGTGTGTGTGTGTGTGTGTGTGTGTGTGTGTGTGTGTGTGTGTGTGTGTGTGTGTGTGTGTGTGTGTGTGTGTGTGTGTGTGTGTGTGTGTGTGTGTGTGTGTGTGTGTGTGTGTGTGTGTGTGTGTGTGTGTGTGTGTGTGTGTGTGTGTGTGTGTGTGTGTGTGTGTGTGTGTGTGTGTGTGTGTGTGTGTGTGTGTGTGTGTGTGTGTGTGTGTGTGTGTGTGTGTGTGTGTGTGTGTGTGTGTGTGTGTGTGTGTGTGTGTGTGTGTGTGTGTGTGTGTGTGTGTGTGTGTGTGTGTGTGTGTGTGTGTGTGTGTGTGTGTGTGTGTGTGTGTGTGTGTGTGTGTGTGTGTGTGTGTGTGTGTGTGTGTGTGTGTGTGTGTGTGTGTGTGTGTGTGTGTGTGTGTGTGTGTGTGTGTGTGTGTGTGTGTGTGTGTGTGTGTGTGTGTGTGTGTGTGTGTGTGTGTGTGTGTGTGTGTGTGTGTGTGTGTGTGTGTGTGTGTGTGTGTGTGTGTGTGTGTGTGTGTGTGTGTGTGTGTGTGTGTGTGTGTGTGTGTGTGTGTGTGTGTGTGTGTGTGTGTGTGTGTGTGTGTGTGTGTGTGTGTGTGTGTGTGTGTGTGTGTGTGTGTGTGTGTGTGTGTGTGTGTGTGTGTGTGTGTGTGTGTGTGTGTGTGTGTGTGTGTGTGTGTGTGTGTGTGTGTGTGTGTGTGTGTGTGTGTGTGTGTGTGTGTGTGTGTGTGTGTGTGTGTGTGTGTGTGTGTGTGTGTGTGTGTGTGTGTGTGTGTGTGTGTGTGTGTGTGTGTGTGTGTGTGTGTGTGTGTGTGTGTGTGTGTGTGTGTGTGTGTGTGTGTGTGTGTGTGTGTGTGTGTGTGTGTGTGTGTGTGTGTGTGTGTGTGTGTGTGTGTGTGTGTGTGTGTGTGTGTGTGTGTGTGTGTGTGTGTGTGTGTGTGTGTGTGTGTGTGTGTGTGTGTGTGTGTGTGTGTGTGTGTGTGTGTGTGTGTGTGTGTGTGTGTGTGTGTGTGTGTGTGTGTGTGTGTGTGTGTGTGTGTGTGTGTGTGTGTGTGTGTGTGTGTGTGTGTGTGTGTGTGTGTGTGTGTGTGTGTGTGTGTGTGTGTGTGTGTGTGTGTGTGTGTGTGTGTGTGTGTGTGTGTGTGTGTGTGTGTGTGTGTGTGTGTGTGTGTGTGTGTGTGTGTGTGTGTGTGTGTGTGTGTGTGTGTGTGTGTGTGTGTGTGTGTGTGTGTGTGTGTGTGTGTGTGTGTGTGTGTGTGTGTGTGTGTGTGTGTGTGTGTGTGTGTGTGTGTGTGTGTGTGTGTGTGTGTGTGTGTGTGTGTGTGTGTGTGTGTGTGTGTGTGTGTGTGTGTGTGTGTGTGTGTGTGTGTGTGTGTGTGTGTGTGTGTGTGTGTGTGTGTGTGTGTGTGTGTGTGTGTGTGTGTGTGTGTGTGTGTGTGTGTGTGTGTGTGTGTGTGTGTGTGTGTGTGTGTGTGTGTGTGTGTGTGTGTGTGTGTGTGTGTGTGTGTGTGTGTGTGTGTGTGTGTGTGTGTGTGTGTGTGTGTGTGTGTGTGTGTGTGTGTGTGTGTGTGTGTGTGTGTGTGTGTGTGTGTGTGTGTGTGTGTGTGTGTGTGTGTGTGTGTGTGTGTGTGTGTGTGTGTGTGTGTGTGTGTGTGTGTGTGTGTGTGTGTGTGTGTGTGTGTGTGTGTGTGTGTGTGTGTGTGTGTGTGTGTGTGTGTGTGTGTGTGTGTGTGTGTGTGTGTGTGTGTGTGTGTGTGTGTGTGTGTGTGTGTGTGTGTGTGTGTGTGTGTGTGTGTGTGTGTGTGTGTGTGTGTGTGTGTGTGTGTGTGTGTGTGTGTGTGTGTGTGTGTGTGTGTGTGTGTGTGTGTGTGTGTGTGTGTGTGTGTGTGTGTGTGTGTGTGTGTGTGTGTGTGTGTGTGTGTGTGTGTGTGTGTGTGTGTGTGTGTGTGTGTGTGTGTGTGTGTGTGTGTGTGTGTGTGTGTGTGTGTGTGTGTGTGTGTGTGTGTGTGTGTGTGTGTGTGTGTGTGTGTGTGTGTGTGTGTGTGTGTGTGTGTGTGTGTGTGTGTGTGTGTGTGTGTGTGTGTGTGTGTGTGTGTGTGTGTGTGTGTGTGTGTGTGTGTGTGTGTGTGTGTGTGTGTGTGTGTGTGTGTGTGTGTGTGTGTGTGTGTGTGTGTGTGTGTGTGTGTGTGTGTGTGTGTGTGTGTGTGTGTGTGTGTGTGTGTGTGTGTGTGTGTGTGTGTGTGTGTGTGTGTGTGTGTGTGTGTGTGTGTGTGTGTGTGTGTGTGTGTGTGTGTGTGCGTGTTCGTGTGTGTGTGTGCGTGTTCGTGTGTGTGTGTTAGTGTGTGTATGCATGAGAGTGTGTTTTGTTTTTGTTTTTTTTTACTAAAAAACACAGCCCTACTAATAATCAGGGGAAGAGGACAACTGAAATGACACTGGACAACAAGACAAAGGGGAGTAGGGGCGATGTGCCGATGTGGTTGGCGAGGCTCATCCGACCGGAGGTCTCGGAATCGTAGCCTACGACCAGGCATCGTTAGGAATGCAGCTAGGGAGGGAGGGAGATCAAGTGAGAAAGAGAGAGAGAGAGAGAGAGAGAGAGAGAGAGAGAGAGAGAGAGAGAGAGAGAGAGAGAGAGAGAGAGAGAGAGAGAGAGAGAGAGAGAGAGAGAGAGAGAGAGAGAGAGAGAGAGAGAGTGTGTGTGTGGGTAGTATGGTGTGGGATTACATTCAAGTGAACAGTCAGAGACCCCTTCTCACCATTACATTGGCCTGTCCACCGCAAGTGATGAAAATGCATGCGCGTGTAATAATAATGGAAAATAGCTTTATTAGGATGGCCCGGAGGCTTGTCACCTACATGACTATCAAAGTATACTTGTATTAGTATATGTGTATGTGCGTGTTCTGTACTTCGAAGTATCATTACAGGTAGTAAAAGTGATCCGCTGCCAGTCATAGAAATTTAGCTCGGCAACAGAGAAAAATAAACTAATTTGACCCTTCTCCAAAGTCACCGTACTGTACTGATCTCTTCAATCCGTGCCGGTTCCTTTTTCTTCTCCTCCCCTTCTCCCTTCCTTGCCGTGGTTGGCTAACACCCTCTTTCTTTGCATTGGCCGGTGTTCTCACTGTGCTATGAGATGCTGTAATAAATAAATAAATAAATAAAATCTTGATTGCCCTTTTTCATCTCATTATCCCAACAATGTCTACAGGTTACTTCATCCCGAAAGGCAGTGACATCATGAATTTCTACTACGGAAACTCCACGTCAGAAGACGTGTACACGAAAGCGGACAAGTTCATGCCGGAGAGGTGGCTCAACGACCCCACCGGCGGGGCCAAGAAGCCGGGCGTCACCACAATGCCGTTCGGCAACGGCCCCCAGCGCTGTTTCGGGCAGCGTCTGGCCGTGCAGGCAATGCGCACCATCGTAGCTCTGTGGGTGCAGCGCTACCGCTTTGAGATGCTCACAGAGGACGTCAAGCCCGTCTTCCGCATCTCCTACATCATGTCCGAGTTTGCTCTGCGAATGTTCCCTCGCAGTTTGTAAGAGTGTCCGAGAGGGAATTTCCCAGCATGCCAGTTGTCGTAGTTCCGTGTATGAAGTAGGACTGAAACCAGGACAACTACCGTAAAATCCCGCGGATAAGCCCACCCGCGTATAAGCCCATGCCCGCGCATAAGCCCAGGGAAAGTTCGAACATCACAAAGCTTCATCGTAAAGGCCCATGGGCCTAGGTCATACCGAGAGTCCATAAATTATGGACTCTTGGCCATACCATGTACGTAGTACATGCACATTATAGCTTTTTTCGTACATTTCAGCACAATCATCGGTTGTTTTTGTTTGCACAGTGGTTTTTAGCATGTACTTCTCAGTTCCTTGATACTTTTCAATAGCACAACTTGGTGTCGGCGTATAAGCCCATGCCCGCGTATAAGCCCATGTTCTCGTATAAGCCCACCGAAATGTCCTTGTGAAACAGATAAGCCCATGGGCTTTCCCGCGGGATTCTACGGTATCCAAGAGGGCGAAGGCATTAACGCTGTGTGTAGTCAGCGGGAGTCGTAAAATACCGACTCCCCGGCATTCAGTGTGGCGAACATGTACATGTATGCCGGAACCCCCCCCCCCGAACCCAACATGCATAATTATGTGACGCCCCAGAGCTGCACACGGCCCTTGGCGGCCTGGAATTGGAGGTGGTATGAATGCTGCTGGACATCCACGCGTACAAAATGTGGACGAGATGGGACTTGCACTGGTCCAAGATGATAGCTTTTCGTTTTGTTTGGGATTTCACTGTGCGTGTAACTTCCATGTGCATGTGCATGTGCCGTGTTTTGACTGTACAGAAAGTCATTGTGCGCTGAGCATGTCAAGCACTGGATGACGTGCATGCACCCATGTCTACCCTTGCTAATGTGCCAGCAATTTGTGTCTGTCGAAGCTATCATTAAATTTTGTAGGATGTTCACTCGACGGGTGTAATTCTAGGGCACAACTTCAAGGATACAATAATAATTATTATTATGAGCACTGTGTGGGTTCGAACACGTATGTGCAAGCGTGTGTACGTGTGTGGAAGCGTGTGTGTGTGTGTGTGTGTGTTTGCGTGCGTGTGTGTGTGTGTGTGCCCCCCCCCCCAGAAAAAGTCACTTCAAACAGCTGTGTGGTGGATACCAGGCTAAAAATAGTGGCGGTCAATTCATCAGCCTTGCAAGCTGTTGAATGGTGTAATCCCAGCACAAGTTGCTATGTCTAACATAGCTGTTCGCTATCATCGCTTCCGCGATGGGCATGCCTGAGGTCTGAGGTGTGTGTGTGTGCATTTGTGCGTGTGTGTATGCATGTGTGTGCGTGCGTGTGTGTGTGTGTACGTGCAGGTGTGATCATTGCGGATGTATGTGCGTGCTTAGCCCATGCACACAAATTCATTTTACTGTCAGTAGTTTCGAACACATTTTGCCTGGGCAAGAATCAGAAGAAGAAACCCACTTTTGATCGATCTGCCTTTTAAAATGCTTTGTTGCATATGTTTCCAATTTGGACAGCGTATCTTAATGCTTTGTTGCATATGTTTCCAATTTGGACAGCGTATCTGCTTCAAAGTACATATTAAAGTGAGAATGACATGGCTTGGCTTGCGGTGAAGCACACATGCCAAACACACATTGTGTGAAGTGAGGGGGACCTTCAGCAAGTACCAATCATTTCTCAAGCTGGAAGTCTGTATCCACCCGCCGTCAGAGTCCAATCTCTCAGTTGCTATGGCGATTTTTGACGCTGCGATGAAATACAAATTGCAGTCATACCGCGCTGCTCTGAGCAGTGGATGAGTGACCAGTTGTGCCAAATTTGTGCTAATCTAAGCAGTGAACGAGTCGAGAGCGCATAGTGGATGTGCGCATCATAGCAGGTGATACAACCTAACATAATAATGAGGGGATAAAGCTGCCCAACTATACTAAGGGAATTATTGTCCATGTTGCGCTGACTTCAACAAGCCGCACACTGTTCCGACGGCCATCGTTTCGTTGTACGCGGCGCACGGTCGCAAGCTCTCTGTCAGTCGTGGCGGCGCGGGAAAATACGCAGGACGAACTCGGACGGAATGTACGCGACGCGGTAGATTGGTTTGACGTCGTCGGTGGCCATCTCGAAGCGGTAGTGCTGAATCCACACGGCCATTACACTACGCATCGCCTGCACAGCCAGGCGCTGGTCGAAGCAGCGATGAGGCCCGTTTCCAAACGGCAGCGAGCTCAAACCCGGCCTCTTGGCCCCGCCGGTCTGGTCGTTCAGCCATCGGTCGGGGATGAACTGATCGGCGTCGCTGAACACATCCTCCGCCATCGCGTTGCCATGGAAATAGTTCATAACGTCACTACCCTTCGGTATAAGATACCCTAACGTCACACAGAATGAAGAGGAAAGCCAGTACAAACACTGATTATGAACCGATTTCGTGACTATTCAGGATGGGAGGAAAGTTGAACAGGGGAAAATATGAGCAGGTGTGGGAGAGGAGAGAGAGAGAGAGAGAGAGAGAGAGAGAGAGAGAGAGAGAGAGAGAGAGAGAGAGAGAGAGAGAGAGTGAGGGAGGGAGGGAGTGAGGGAGGGAGGGAGACAGACAGACAGACAAACATACATGGACACACAGAGATAGACAGAGAGGATATATAAGAGGAGAGACAGACAGACAAACAGACAGATATACAGACGGAGAGACAGGCAGGGAGGGAGAACGGGAATTCAATTTGTGCACACCAACTCACCGCCAATGTTCAAGTCTTCGACAACCTCCCGGTGCATACTGTGCGCAATGGGTGTGAGTCTTCCAGACTCTTGCAACACGGCATGAAGATAGGTCATGTGATCAAGGTCTGCCATACATGGTGTTGTTCCGGGAGGATGCGATGACATCACACTGCACACTTCCTCGTAGCAGCGCTGTTGACACTTTGGATGCAGGGCTGGAAGGGTGACACGAAGAAAGGCAGAGTGTGCAGCTGGAAGACCATCCCTCCATAACGGAAGAGAAGAAAATTAATATTAGATTGTACTTGTAGAAAGGGAAAGGACATATGGATACGAGTTCAGAGTAACTCTCCATCACTGTAACTGGATACTATATACAGTCAGAAAGTGCAATAACTAGGCACAAAACTGACAGAGTACTGAGACATTCCACGTCCTGACACCTAGCTTCAACACATCTCCGTAGCGCTAACCGACAGCCTTCCAACTTGGAAGGTTCAAGGTTATGGAAAGACCAAAGAGGGGAGGGCAAGCGCAACGAAAACTTCCAAGTTGGAAGGCTGTCGGTTAGCGCTACGGAGATGTGTTGAAGCTAGGTGTCAGGACGTCGAATGTCTCAGTACTCTGTCAGTTCTGTACCTAGTTATTGCACTTTCTGACTGTATAGTATCTATTTACAATGGTGGAGAGTTACTCTTAACTCGTATCCATATGTCCTTTTCCTTTCTACATTTTATTTATGGCTCAACATCCGAGTTTCAAATAATAGATTGGATTGGTTTATTCAATGTCTAAGAACAGACATACAGTGTTGTCTTAGTACATGCGATTGACTGCAGGATATTCGAACAGCATCATAGTGGTCACCATTATCACACTGCACAGAATGCAAGAATGCTGGTCACACATACACGACATGATACACCATCTTCCCAACCTCCACTGAAGGGCGGTGAAGTGCAGGATATGTGTATGACGTCACGTTAGCGTAATGTCTTCCGTGGAGGACCTTACGCTAGCATGACGTCATACACTGTACAACTACTGTATTTGCGCTTTCTGTTTACCCGTACAACATCTGCCCGGTGTTGCCATGCAGCTAGACAACCTGCCGTCAGGGCTGTTGTTTTACATTCTTGACCACTCGGATAAGGCGACCACCTCTCCAAGAGGACCATTAGAACCAGGACCAAGGGATACTATTCCCAGTCAAAATAACCCTGGATAAGGAGGCCACCTGGTTATAAAGACCACGTTTTGAAGGTCCCTTGAGCAGTCGTCTTAGACAGGTTTCACTGTACATTCTTGACCACTCGGATAAGGCGACCACCTGTCCAAGAGGACCTCTAGAATCAGGACCAGGCGATGCTATTCTCAGTCAAATAACCCTGGATAAGGAGACCACCTGGTTATAAAGACCACGTTTTGAAGGCCCCTTGAGCGGTCGTCTTAGACAGGTTTCACTGTACATTCTTGACCCTTGACGCTATCAGATGCATTCTTGCTTTCAAGGCCCTGGCGTATGCGGGATTGGTCGGAGAGCAGTGCAAAGGACAGCACTGTTTGTGAAGATATGCACGCTCCCATATCAGCTCTTTACTCGTCAATACCCCTTCACGTACCTGCCAGCAGCTCATGAGTGCACTCTGCAAAATAACTACTTCAGGTTTACCCTGGTTAGTACGACATCGGGTACAAGACACATCTCATTAGTAGACAACCATAAAAAAAACCTGACGCCTGAAACTTATGTAATAGGTAGCCGAGTGGTAGGCGCGGTGCAATTAACAAGAATTACTTTTATTCTACTTTCAGGTACACACCTGAGATATAATCGTTCGTGAAAGAAGAAGCGGCAAAATAAATAACTTTCTCTCCGGTGCTCACCTAGAGGCTGAATCCTTATTCTTCGAGTTAGCTTTCATTGCTATCCAATCCAATCTAATCTAATCTTCTCTTCATCAAAACAGAAATGCGCAGCCGCTTATATGCAGCAGACGCCGTACGATTACATACGGAGATACACTAAATATACATCAGGCAAAGCTTCGTATTAGTTCCGTACTGCTTCCGTATTGGTCGGGCAGGGATACTACACCCTCCCTTCCTACAGATTATCACGCCCTCGTGATTTTCAAAAAATTAGTGAAGAGTTACGAACACAGCGTCAACCGGAAGATGGCAAATTATATCGGAAATGATAACGTTTAGAGTAGACAGAAGAAATGAACTGATAACAAATCATAAAGTAGAAGCACACCAGGTTCACACGATCTCACGGGGTCAAAAGGGGAAAGAACTGTCCTCCAAATAGGACCTGAAAATCCACAGCACTCTTGCTGCACAACGCTGGCACAACCCGCCAGGAACATCGGAGTTCAAAAACCGAACTGAATACACTATAACTATAAGGGGCGTTGTCACACACATTGTCCCACATTAGCTGGGTAAGCCGTGGCTCACCATGATCAGACGCCTACCAAACTAAACTGGATTCACACACTCGCATAAAGGAAGACTGAAAAGAACAGGGAGACTGAAGGAAGAGAGGAAAGAAAATGCCATACCTAGAATCAGCGTTAGTAACCACGGCGGCGGCTGGAGCTACGGCGGAGGGCAAGCCAGGTTTTATCTTCATCTTGGTTGAGCCGGTCACTCAGAGCGGCTAGCTCGGCGTCAGACAAATGACCTGATTGACCTCCCTCCTCGTCTTGAATCGTGGTCTTCACATTGTCGATAGCATCGCTTTGCGCGACGTAAAGAGTGATGGTCTAGCCAGCCTGCTTCCGACTGCGTGCCGGCCAAAATCAAACGCTGCTGGTCTTGGGGAATACCCTCCTTGTCTTGGGTACCAGCCTGCCTGTTGTCGTCCTCATCAGCTTCGCCATCACCACCGGTAGTGTACATGTAGGTAGCGGGTTGCTTGGAATCGCCATCGGAGTCTCCAATGGATGCCATGCGTAGAGAAGGGTGATCCACGCTAGCACCCTGGCTGTGCTGCATGCTAATAAGCAGGGCCAAGCCCAGGAAGGCAAGAAACATGATTCTCATCTTGATTCCTCGCAGGGAGCTGCAGCGGGTTGAGCCATGGGGGTCTGGGGTCGAATCACGTTGTTTTATTTAAAACTACACCGCTGCCACCAATGTAATGGTAGCCGAGTGGTAGGCGCGGTGCAATTAACAAGAATTACTTTTATTCTACTTTCAGGTACACACCTGAGATATAATCGTTCGTGAAAGAAGAAGCGGCAAAATAAATAACTTTCTCTCCGGTGCTCACCTAGAGGCTGAATCCTTATTCTTCGAGTTAGCTTTCATTGCTATCCAATCTAATCTAATCTAATCTTCTCTTCATCAAAACAGAAATGCGCAGCCGCTTATATGCAGCAGACGCCGTACGATTACATACGGAGATACACTAAATATACATCAGGCAAAGCTTCGTATTAGTTCCGTACTGCTTCCGTATTGGTCGGGCAGGGATACTACACTTATACAAATTTATAGAAAAGAAAAAAGAACCAAGAAACCACAAGTTACGCTACAATGTCCATTAACACCAATTAGTTACTAAACAATCAGCTCATGCGATAACATTGCATGACACTGACCGATGGTTCTGATGTTCTGCAACTAACTGGCCAACAGCCCTAGCACATCTTGGATGCGCAATCAAACAGCCTTCCAACTCGGAAGGTTCTAAGTTATAGAAAACATGAGGAGGGAACTTTATAGCGGAACTTGTAGTTTCTTAGTAAGTCCAATTGGGTGAACTCACCCATTCCAAAACACTCTGCAAATTTCCGAACCATTCCATTATAATGGAATGGTTCGGAAATTTGCAGAGTATTGTGGAATGGGTGGGTTCACCCAATTGGACTTACTATGAAACTGCAGGAAGCCTCTCAACTTCTTCTCAGTTGTAGTTTCTTGGTCCTTTTTCTTTACTATATATTTATCTCTAGCTCTCCATCCGATTCTATATTATACAAAGACAAACAATTTGAAACCCAATTATTAACTGAGAAGTTGGACGCACTTCAGGCTCTTGAACATTTTGAACGTCTTCACTAGTATATTTTCATGCCTTATCATCAGGTGAAATACAAGCAAAATCAAATGAACATGGACAATGAAGTAAGTCCAGCAGAGAGGTGAAAGAAAACAGCGCAAGGAAGAAGAGCCAAAACAACAGCGACAAATGCATGACCCATACGCATAGAAAGTAATGGAGAAAAGGTGCCGCTTGAAGTGTGAGTAAACTTGTAGTTACTTGTAGTCTGTCTCCTGCAACCATGTTTCAACATTGTTAGTGCTTACGTTTGGTGATTTTGTTGCCGCGTGACCGCCAACTGCCATCTTCTCAGATTTGTGTTGGGTTTCAGTTCCCGTTACGGCAACAAAGAATTGGATTGAGTTTTTTCTTTCTTCAGATTCTTGACGTTTTGTTCATTTTTTTTTTTTTTTGGTATTGAGATTTTCTGCCATAATATGATTGCAAGCAAATTTGCTTTGCCCGTACAAGAGTCAAGAGGCTTGTTCTAATTAAGTGTGAGTAAACCCAAACAGCGTGAAGTGCGGTGAAACAAAAACAGACAACAAACGGACAAAAACTAACGAGTTGTTGACGACCTACCTAACAGCCTAAGCGTAAATCTAATCTACTTCTGTTTACATAAGTAATTAGTAGGTTTCTTGCTGTGAATAACAACAAGCAGCTTCTAAAACATTCAACAACTTCGCACTGGGTGCACGTGACAAAATAGAAAAACAATCATCTGAGTGCACTGCACGACATTCAGGCTGCTCTAACAAATGACAAGCAATGGACGAATCATACTTCTCAGAACAGAATAGAACAGTGTACGAATGTACAGTGGACAAGTCAGACATCAAATGCGTAGTCGACTCAGGTTTAGCTGTTGACTCCGCCGTTGTTCTGGATGCTGCCACGACCGCCGTTGCTGATCTCGTCATCCTTCTCGTTTCAGTTGTTGTCTTTGCTAGTGAGTGTTATTTCAGGTTGCTTCTTTCGTGGTCTAAATAATAATAATAATAACTTTATTAGGATGACCCAAAGGCAAATCACCTATCGAGGGGTTCACCGCATTGAATGGTTGTGGTATGACAAAGCAAAGAGGCAACCATTGTGTGTGTGGGGGGGGGGGGGGGGGAGGGGGGAGGGGGGGAGTTTCGAACTATGCACAGTGAAGGG